TATTGTCCTTTAGAATTTTTTTCAGACCTGCTATTTTTATTATATATGCATAACATTTACCATTTTAAATTTACAATTCATTAGCATTAAGTACATCCACATTTTTTTACAAACATCACCACTAATCATCTCCAAAACTTTTTTCATATTCCTAAACGGAAATGATGTCCTTATTAAACAATAGCTCCCTATCCCCTCCTCCCCTCAGCCCCTGGCAACTACTATTCTACTTTGTATCGCTATGGATTTGACTACTGTTAGGTACATTATATAAGTGGAATCATGCAGTCTTTGCCCTTATGTGACTTACTTATTCCACTTGGCATAACATCCTCAAGAAAGGGTAAGTAAACTTGAAGACATAGTAATAGAGATTATCTAAATTTAAGCATAGAGGAAAAATGCACAGAGCCTCTGTAACCTGTGGAACAGTTTACCATATGTATAATTGGAGTCAAAGTATCTCATATAGGTGGAGTCTTTGTAACTGGCTTACTTCACTTAGCATAATGTTTTCAAAATGTATCCATGTTGTAGCATATTTCAGAATTTTCTTCCTTTTAAGGCTGAAAAATACTCCATTTATGTACATTACACATTTTGTTTATTCATCTGTCAATGGACATTTGGGTTGCTTCTACCTTTGGGCTATTGTGAACAATGCTGCTATTAACATGGGTGTACAAATATCTGTTTGAGCCCCTGTTTTCAGTTCTTTTGAGTATATACCCAAAAGTGGGATTGCTGGATCATAAGATCATTCTACCTTTGGGCTATTGTGAACAATGCTGCTATTAACATGGGTGTACAAATATCTGTTTGAGCCCCTGTTTTCAGTTCTTTTGAGTATATACCCAAAAGTGGGATTGCTGGATCATATGGTAATTCTATGTTTAATTTTTTGGAGGACCCACCATATTGTTTTCCATAACAGCAACACTGCTTTTCCTTTTAGTTTCTTGCATTTTCTTTGTAAAGTCCCTATTCTTCATCTTACTCACCAAGCCTCCCTTTTCCTATTTCAGTTTAGACTATTTTTTTGTTTTGTCTCCCATTTGTAGTCCCTCTTTTATGTCCTCTTATGCAATTTTGCATCCCCGTATGCATGTATATCTGTCATGTCTAGGTATATGTTTGTGCAAGAGGAAAAATGTGTCTGTACAGGCAAGGAGCTCAGTAAACCTCATACCTTCTCTGCCCTCCTCAGTCTCAGCAGCATCATTTTTGTGGCCATTTAATACTCTGTTACATAGATATACAAAAATTTGTTGATTCAGTGCCCTAAATAAGTACTTTTAAGTTGTTTCTGTTTGCCATGATGAACTTCTTTGAACGCTTATCTTTTGGACTCATGTCTGTTTCCTTAGGTAAATTCCTAGAGATGGAATTTCTAGGTCAAAGGAAATAACATTCTTGTTTGTGTTTTGTTTTCTTTTGAGTCAAGGTCTAGTTCTGTCACCCAGGCCGGAATGCAGTGTCGCGATCGCAGCTTACTGCAGCCTTGACCTTCCAGGCTCAATCAATCCTCCCACCTCAGCCTGCTGAGTAGCTGGGACTACAGGTGCATGCCACCATGCCCAGCTAATTTTTTGTATTTTTTTTTTTTGGTTGAGACAAAAGTCTCACCATGTTGCCCAGGCTGCTCTCAAACTCCTGACCCCAAGCTATCTGCCCACCTTGGCCTCCCAAAGTGCAGTGATTACAGACGTGAGACACCATACCTGGCTGGAAGTAACATTTTTTAAACTTTTGAAATATATTGGCAATTTGCCTTCATAAAAGTTCTTCTGAAATACACTCCTACTCACAGTGTATGAAAGGCCTATTTCCTGGATTTTTAACGAACACATTACTAGTTGAGAGATGATAAATGTTTTCATGTTTGATTATAAAAGGAGATGTCGAATGTTTTCCAGATGTTTGTTATTTATTTGTGTTTCTTTTGTGAGTTGCCAGCCACGGATCCTTTGTCCATTTTTCTGTTGAACACTCCTTAAGATTTTAAACAAGAGAGTTCAAAGAAAAAAAAATGTAAAGATGCTGGTTAAGAGTTCTGCAGCAAAGAAACTAATAATGTAAGAGTGAAAGGAGAATTTTAAGACTCTGGCTAGCATAAAATATTGTGGAAATATGGAAGAGAGAGATTCTCAAACCTGGTTGCCATTTAGAATCCGTTAAACCAGACTCTCCAGGGAGGAAATCCAGGCATCAATTTTTGTTTTTTAAATTCCCCGTAAATTTTAATGTGCCACAGGGATAGAGAAAAAGTGACTTACTGATAAAAGCAGGAACTATGAAGTAGAGCAAATGTGACAAAATACTGTAGCAATTTGGAGAAATTAACCTTTAAGAGAAAGGGGTTGGAGTTATTCCTGACCAAGGGGAATCATGATTGGCACAGATAAACACATCAGTGTTTAAGTGGCATCATATCTGGTTATCCAGTCTCTCTACTGTGGTAATAGAGTCTTCATTCTTGACACATTATATCACATGATGCTGTCCAGTGAATATCAGTTCTTGAATTATGTGAGTTCCGCCCAGGACAGTTGCCTCCTAGTTAGGTGGCTGCATCTTCCTCCATTCTGAGAGTGATTGTACAATGTTAAAACTAAACTGTAAGCTAAGTGAGGACAGGGTCTGAATATCTCTAGAACTTCACACAGAGTCTGGAATGTAGTAACTGTAACAAATATATGCTGAGAATGGATTGAGTATCACAAAAACGATCTGAGATTATTCCAGTTTCTTCCATAGTTTTCATACTAAATCAAGATGTGCTTCATTGAATACAATTTTAATACTTTTTAGTATTTTCTACACAGTAATGAACTACCTTTTTGTCATATTATCTTCAAGGACAAGATTTCTTTGAATTGTATAAGGTTCCTCTTAAGACGACTGATTGAAGACACTTTTTTGAGGCCTCAAATTCTTCATATGAGCATTTAAAATATTTCCATCTGCCTTGCTTTACCTTCTTTGTGATTTTTATATGACTAGTTTGACTTGGAGTGTTTCTTGTATACATGCAGAAGGCTGCTATAAATTATCTCTGTTTGTATATGGTTGATGTGTTTTCTAAATAGAAGCTGAGAGTTTTGTTTTTGCTTTGGGTTTGGGATTTTTTGTTTCAGGGTGTTTTGGTTTTTTGTTTGTTTGTTTGTTTTGGTTTGTTTCCCAAATACATCACATATTAGGTACTGGCTTGTCTTCCATAGTCAAAAATATCTTCAAATGCAATTCTTCTGTAGCATTGCAGAAAGTAATTTGTGCAACAGTTTTTTAAGTACCCTTTACAAATTATATTTTACATCTGGATTTTTACCACCAGTTTAAAAAGTTACAATTCATACACTGTTATAGCAACAATATTGGTTTTTTCTGAGTTAGAAATCTTCATTTTGAAGTGAGAAACACAGATCTACATTTTTAGTTACCTAAGTTTTCAACCAAATACTCTGCCAAAAATCTTTTAGAAACTCAATTTTAAAGCCCTTCAGGCTGTCTCAATGAAAATCATAAGCAGTTCTTTGGTATTCTGTCAAGACCATAAAGAAAATAGAATATTATCTAAAATGTTTCTTTTAAGCTATTTCAAACTATCACAGTACCTTGCTCAAAGTAGTTACTCAGTGAACATTTGTGGAGGGAAGGTAGGAATGCTGGCATGCCACAGTTGCCCCAGAATAGCAGCTATGTAGAATGGCTGTGTGGGGACCCTGGTTCCAGCAGAACTTTCTCCCTACTGACAGCTGCAGCCAGGAAACTGCATTATTTAACTGGTTAGTTCTTTGGGTTGTAATGAGCGGAGGATCATTTCAGTTACTTCAAGAATGGATACTTGCTTGCAAGGGGACCCAGAATTAGCTTAACAGCCAGGTCTCAGGAAGAGCAGGAACCAGGGAAGGTTCCTAGGAAATGGATTGTTGTTGAATTTTTACCCCAGTGCTCCATCATTACCCTGGCCCCACTGTCCTCCCCATGTGTGCTCCATACCCTCGCTCCTCTCTCTATTTGCAGGCTTTCTCTGCGAATATAGCACCTACTCCTTCCCAACCCTGCCAGTGTTTTGCCCTTATTGGTCTCCTTTACACCCCTGCATCCATTCAAGCTTCTGCTTCCACCACAAATTGCTTCCTTCTTACCATGTTTGTTGTTTGTTGGGTGTTCAACTGTGGTGTTTTATATACATTTATTAAACTAGGCTGACTTTCTGTCTGCTTGACGTGTCCCTTACCTAGGGAATTGTGTTAATATCACCTACCATGATGGTGGATTTGACAATTTCTTGTTGTTGTTATATTTATTTTGGTTTTATGTATTTTACAGCTATTTTATTGGTTATATTTAGATGTGAATTATTACATTTTCCTGCCGAGTTTAACCGTTTTTCCCCCTTTCCTGTGGTGCTGATGAATTTAACCTTTTGATTAAAGCGAGTTGCCATATTTTATCTGTCTTTGCCCTAAGCTTTTTTATTTTTTAATTTTTGGCTAATATTGATAAACCTATCCAGGTTTATTTTAGTTGCTATTTGCCTTGTATATCTTGTCCTGTCTTTTTTTCTTTTCACCCTTCATTGTGTCTCATAAACAGCACATACCTGGATTTTAGCCTTTTGTTGGCTTGTTTGATTTATTAATTTTTTTATAACTGCGATACTTTTTTCTATTTACTAGAGAATGTAATCCAGTCACATTTGTTGGGAGTTCTGATTTATTTGAATTTATTTTAAATGTGTTATGTTACAATAAACCGCTCTTTAGAACACTATTTTTCAAACTCATTAAGGCTGTAGAGCAGGGGTCCCCAGACCCTGGGCCACAGACCAGTACTGATCCGTGGCCTGTTAGGAACCAGGCTGCAAAGCAGGAGGTGAGTGGCAGGCAAGTGAGCAAAGCGTCATCTGTATTTACAGCCACTCCCCTTTGCTCACATTACCTCCTGAGCTCCGCCTCCTATCAGATCAGCAGTAGCATTAGATTCTCATAGGAGCGTGAACCCTATTGTGAACTATACATACAAGGGATCTAGGTTGTACACTGGTGAGAATCTAATGCCTGATGATCTAAGGTGGAGTATTGAGGAGCAGCTGCAAATACAGATTAACATTAGCAGAGAGGTTTGACTGCACAGAAACCATAATAAGTCAACTGCTTGCAGACTCATGTCAAAACCTTATCAGTGAGTGGCAAGTGATGGTTAAGCTGTATCTGGTGGCAGGCTTAACTTTATAGTGGCAAGTGAGTTGATGTACTTCAGTTGTACAGCTGCATCTGGTAGCAGGCTTTAAGTCAGAATCCGACAGTTATTTTAGCCCACACATGGGCCACCCATTATTTTATTTACCATGCCTCTTTCTCACGCTGCACACTTGTCTCAGTCACAGTTTTGGTAAGCCAATGAGCTAATCCTAGCCAAAATGAGTAAAAAATAAACGTCACTGAAGAGCTTCTTTGAAAAGAGGGGAAAGACCCAGTGATGAGACAGCAGAAGACTTTAAGACTGGCAACAAAATGAAAGCTGCATTTAAAAGAAAATGCCAAGAGTCCTATTTAAATTACGGGTGCATTGCAATAGGTGATTTCACATTCTCCAAACCTGCTTTGTATAATATGTGGTAACTGGCTATCCAACGAAGCCATGAAACCTTAAAAACTGCTTTGCTACATGGAGACCAAGCACTGCACATTAAAAGACAAGCCTTTGGAGTTTAAAAAAAAAAAAAAGTGAACGGGAAGAACAGAAGCAATCATTGAAGGCCACAGCTTCATCAAATGTGTCTGTACTGACAGTATCATTGTTAGTGGCTAAACGCATCGCTAAAGCTAAGAAGTCCTTTACTATTGGTGAAGAGTTGACCTTGCCTGCTGCTAAAGACATTTGTCATGAACTTTTAGGAGAGGCTGCAGTTCAAAAGGTGGCACAAGTTCCTCATTCAGCTGGCACCATAACTAGACAAATTGATGAAATAGCAGAGGACATTGAGGCACAATTGCTAGAGTGGATTAATGAGTCACTGTGGTACGCAGTCCAGGTTGATGAGTGTACCGATGTTGACAACAAGGCAACTATGTTTGTTTTGTGTAATGTATTTTTCAGGAAGATGTGCATGAGGATATGTTATGTGCACTTTTGTTGCCAGCCAACACCACAGCTGCAGAACTGTTCAAGTCTTTGAATGATTACATGTCAGGAAAACTGAACTGGTCATTTTGTGTGAGTATATGCGTGGACAGAGTGGCTGCCATGGCTGGACAGCTTTCTGGTTTCACTACTCAGATCAAAGAGGTTGCTTCTGAATGTGGGTCTACACACCATGTCATCCATAGAGAAATGCTGGATAGCCAAAAAATGTCACCTGAACTTAACAGCATTTTGCAGGATGTGATTAAAATTATCAGCCACATTAAAGTACGTGCCCTTAACTCACGTCTCCTTCACACAGCTCTATGAGGAGGTGGGCGCAGTGCACACGTCTTCTCTTATACACAGAAGTGAGATGGCTTTCTAAAGGTAGGTCACTGATCAGAGTTTTTGAGTTACAAGAGCCACTCCAGAGATTTCTTTGAGAAAAACAGTCACCACTGGCAGCACATTTCAGTGCCACAGAATGGGTTGCAAACCTTGCTTCCTTGTGTGACATATTCAACCTGCTCAACGAACTCAATCTGTCACTTCAGGGAGAACAACGACTGTGTTCGAGTTGTCAGATAAAGGGGCCGCATTCAAAACCAAACTGGAATTATGGGGGTGACAAGTGAACACTGGAATTTCTGACATGTTTCAAACATTAGCAGAGATTTTGAAAGAGACTGAGCCAGGGCCTTCTTTCCCCCAGCTGGTGCATGATCACATATCTCAGCTTTCAAAGGAGTTTGAGCATTACTTCCCAACCACAAAAGACCCCCCAAAGTGGGAAGGAATGGATCCACAACCCATTTGTGGATAAGCCAAGGTGAATCGACTTTGTCCGTGCTGGAGGAGGACCAACTGCTTGAAATCGCAAATGACGGTGGCCTTAAAAGTATGTTGAAACAGCTTCAAATCTTCATACAGTCCAGATTGAAGTCAAGGCAGAATATCCAGAGATTGCCCCAAAAGCCCTGAAAAGCTTGCTTCCATTTCCAACGTCCTATCTTTGTGAGCAGGGTTTTCTGCAGTAACAGCAACCAAAACGAGATTATGGAGTAGACTGGACATAAACAACACACTTCAGGTATCACTGTCTCCCATCACCTCCAGATGGGACCGTCTAGTTGCAAGAAAACAAGCTTAGGGCTCCTACTGATTCAACATGATGGTGAGTTGTATAATTATTCCATTATATATTACATTGTAACAATAATAGAAATAAAGTGCACAATAAATGGAATGTGCTTGGATCATCCCGAAACCATTTCCTCCCCCTGATCCATGGAAAAACTGTCTTCCACAAAACCGGTCCCTGGTGCCAAAAAGGTTGGGGACCACTGCTGTAGAGCACAAGTAAGTCATGCTTTTTGTGGAATACCACAGAACATTAAACTTCAGTTAACTATATTCATACTTCCCATGAAATTGTGTGCTCTCTTCTGCTAGACTATAGGTTACATAAAGAATACTGCACTCATGGGTTTAAGAAGAAAAGTTAAATTTGATAACATTGTGTCCATTCACTTAATGCCTTCTGAATTAAGTAGGAAAGGAGCACCATTATTTGACCTTTCCATCTCAGCATCTTAGTTCAGCTTGTAGAACACCAACGTTCTTCAGAAGTATAATTACTATTAAATAAAAATTACACAATAAATTATAAAATCGTAAAATATAAATCAGTCCAAAGGCTTTAGGTACATTTCTGGATAATATCTTGTAAGTTTTGGAGTCAGATCAACCTTGCTTTGAATCCTGGCCCTGCCATCTTCTACTGGGTGAACATGGATATGTTTTGTAATCTCTCTGATTTTCATTCTCCTTATCTGTGAAATAGGATGAAAATAATAATAACTTTCTCATGGGATTATTGTAATGGTTAAGTGAATTGATAGTTATAAAGTGTTTAGTGCAGTATTTATCATATAATAAGTCCTCTGGAAATATCTGCCATTATTAGTGTATTATTTCAATTGGACTTACTATATTAGGACCCCCAAAGGAGATGATTGTCTGAGTTGAATTTTAAAGGATTTGAATGGATTAGCTCAACTGAGAAGCAAAGGAAAGAACCTTCAGGCATACAGAATAGGCTGTGCAAAGATATTTTAAATATAAGTAAGATTTTAAGAATGAACAGTGTCAAGAGACCACTGGGAAAGCCACCATTCTTTCCTCTGTAACGTCACCTAGTGACACACTCAAAACAAGAAGTGGTGGAAAGGGATGAAATATAGGTCGTTTTTAGTATAGAATTATTTTTTCTTATGCTCTTATATAAATGACTGTTAAGTAAATATTTGTGTGTTTTATCTATTGAATATCCAACATTATAGTCAAAATTGAAAGAATACCAATTGTCAAAGAAAGCAGCATATTGTGGTTAAAAACTATAGCAGTGGAGTCAGAATAGCTGAATTAAAAATTCGCTCAACCCCTAACAGCTTTGTGTTTTTTTGATAAGCCAATACTTTTTGAATTCTCACTTTCTCCCTAAAACTGATGATAATGCCTGTTAAGCTCAAAATAACATAATGAGTTATTGATTATACATGATCACCAAAAACAGTAGATAAATTAAAATTTAATAATTGATTCCAGATTACATTATTTTTTCTTATGCTGATTTATCCTTCTAATTGTATTTTGCTTAGGATAAAATTAAAATCTGTTTTTATTTCTTTAAACTACACGAACAGATGGCAAAAAGATGTAACCCAGATAATTATAATGTAGTGACAGAAGTCATTCTAGAATTTAAAATTTACTATAATTAATTGGCAAAATACAAAATAAAATATTGGTTTTGTAGTTATTTGTCACTGTCATTTTTATTATTTTACAAATGCATACTTTTCTTGTCTTCAGTGAATTTAAAAGCAAGTCATCAGGAACTTTTGACAAATGACTTTGTTCCACCAAACCCTTTCTGCTCTGTTTTTCAGCATTCTGATTTTCCCACTTTCCAGTTCTTGTACACATACCTTTTGCCATCCAAAATGGCAATAGTTGTCCAATCCCCACTTCCTAATCCCCTATACATACATATACATTTTGCCTGCCCTCACCTCTTGCAATCTCTAATTCCAAAATTAGCTCATTCTCCACCTCCCTATCCAACTTTTTTTCTTCCTCTAGGACTGTTCTCAGCTGGAAGTAAGGAGATGTATATATAATTATCCAAAAAGATTTGCTGAGCTTAGGTGGTATTTTAATTTTTATGTGTATGTTTAATGTTTTGAGTGATAAGCCTCTCCCAACACCTTGTATACTCAGCCCTCCATGCCATACTGGAAGAATAAAAAGGATGTGCCCCTTTTTGTCCCCACTTTTCTGACCATATTCCCAACTAAGTTTATAAAGACTCCGTCACATAACTTCATTTCCAATTTGGAAATTTCATAACTGGCTTACTTTTTCCCTTGGGCTTCTGTCGAACATAGCACTTTTGCCCTGCTCTCACCCCATTGTATTATTTATTATGTACCTGTCATCTCTATATTATTTATCTGTATTACTTATTAGGCATCTGTCATCTCAACTTTCTATATAATGTCTTTTAAGCTGTAGACCATTCATTCAAAAATATTTATTTCTGCCCATGTTGGAATAACTAGTGAGCATCCAGAGATCACTAGACATGCAAAGAATCAGGAAAATGTGATCTATAACCAAGAGTGGGGAGAAAAACCACTCACTCAAAATAAACACAGAAAAACAGGGATGGTAGAATTAGCAAAAAGGGTTTTTTTTTTTTTTTTTTTTGAGACAGGGTCTTACTCTGTCACTCAGGCTGGAATGCAGTGGTGCAATCAGAGCTCACTGCAGCCTCAACCTCCTAGGCACAAGCAATCCTTCTACCTTAGCCTCCTGAGTAGCTGCGACCACAGGTGCACGCCACCATACCCAGCTAATTTTTAAATTATTTGTAAAGACAAGGTCTCACTGTGTTGCCCAGGCTAGTCTCAAACTCTTACGCTCAAACAGTCCTCCTACCTCAGCCTCTTAAAGTGCTAGGATTATAGGCATGAGCAACCACGCCCAGCCAGAAAGGGATTTTAAAAGTCGTGTTACAAATGTGCTCAGTGATTTAAAGAAAAAGATGAACACACGAAAAATGGAAGATATATGAATGAACCAAATTAGAGGTCTATAAAATGAAAAATACAATATCTGAAATAAAAAATTCACTGGATGAGCCTAATAGGGTGAACATGACAGAAGAAAGGATAAGTGAACTTGAAAAACTAGTAAAAGAGATTATCTAAACTGAAGCAACAGAGAAAAAAATGCACAGTGTCTGTGACCTGTGGAACAGTCTACCATATATGTCATTGGAGTCTTAAGAATAAAAGGAGAGAGAAGCAGAGAGGCACTAAAAGCATTTGAAGAAATAATGACTAAAATTTTTTAAACTTGATGCAAACTATGCAAACAATGAACATCCAGCAAGATGAGCATGATATAAACCACATCAGAGCACATTGTGATCAGATTCCTGCAAATCAGTTATAAACAGAAACTCTTAAAAGCACCCAGAGGTTAAGAAAAAAAAGACACACGTTACATATAGATGAACGAAGATTGACTGCAGACTTCCTGTCAGAAACAAGATGTAAGTCAGAGGAAAATAAAATCTTTAAAGTGCTTGAAAAATAAACTGTCAACATGGAATTCTATATCTTTCTAATATAAAGGGGAAAGATAAAGACTTCCTAAAGACTTTTTAGGAAAATAAAAGAATTTATCACCAGAAAACTCACACTATAATAAATGTTAAAGGAAGTTCCTTTAGGTGGAACCAAAATGATTCCAAATGGAAACTCAGATCCGTCCAAAGGAATGAAGACCCCCAGAAATGGTAAATATATGGGTAAATACAAAGACTTTTTCTTCACTTCCTAATTTCTTTAAAAGGCAATTGACATTTTAATAAAGTAGTAACATAGTATTGTGAGGTTTACATCATGTGGAAGTAAAATGTATGACAGTAGCACAAAGGTTAGAAAGAGGAAATGGAAGAATACGTAAAGTAGTTTACATTTTTAAGTAAAGTGGTATGGTACTGTTTGAAAATAAAGTGTGATCGGTTTAAGATGCATATTCTAAACACTAGATCAAACACTTTTAAAATAATAGGGGGGGAAAAATCAGCCAGGCATGGTGACTTATACCTGTATTCCCAACACTTTGAGAGGCCAACGTAGGAGGCTCAGTTTAGGCCAGGCGTTCAAGACCAGCCCTGGGCAACTTACTGAGATTTGTCTCTACAGAAAAAAAAAGGAGGAGGAGGAGGAGAGAAGGTAGACTATAACACACAAACAGGGAACGTGAAATGGAATACAGTTAATCCAAAAGAAAGCAGGAAAAGAAGAAGGAAATGAGTATTGTAATGTCATGTAGTGATATTGCTATGAAGAAAATTGTTGGGAAGTAATGCTTCATGAATGTTTTCATGTTTCTGCATGATCAGGACTTTCTGAGCAAAGATTTCTGGCACCAGGTTAAAGAATGTTTTTTGTTTGTTTGAGAAGGAGTCTCGCTCTGTCGCCCAGGATGGAGTCAGTGGCGCGACCTCAGCTCACTGCAACCTCCGCCTCCTGGGTTCACGCCATTCTCCTGCCTCAGCCTCTCGAGTAACTGGGACTACAGGCACCCGCCACCATGCCTGGCTAATTTTTTGTGTTTTTAGTAGAAACAAGGTTTCACCGTGTTAGCCAGAATGGTCTTGATCTCCTGACCTCGTGATCCACCCGCCTTGGCCTCCCAAAGTGCTGGGATTACAGGCGTGAGCCACTGCACCCAGCCTAAAGAGTGTTTGAATGGCAAACAAGCCTTGGAAGTTAAAGACGTGTGGAGAGATTCAGAGACTTCTCCCCAAGATAATTTGTTTTCATGCTAGGGGTTGTAAACCTAGAGACCCTCCCCTTCTCCCCCTGAGATGATTTGTTTACAAAGCAAAGGTCAGTAAGTCATGTGCAGGTGATGCAAGCTGCTTCTTCCCCCACCCCAGAGGGGAGAAGGAGCAGCAGCTGTGTGTGAAAAGTCCTACATAGGCTCCAAATTTCATTACTGGGGAGTTATTCTTATCATGTAACCTTGTGGGGGACTGTTAGAACTAAAGTATAAGTATGTAAATACTATCTCTGATTCAAAAACCTGGTGGTT